GCCGGTTCTGCGTGCGGGGAGTAGAAGCGAGGCGTGAGGCGGCCATGGCCGAAAGCTGCTTTTCCTGCACCCAGCCCCGGCTGGTGTTGGCAGTGACGGTGCGGGGTAACTTCTGTTTGCAGGCGCCAACAGTTCCTAAAAGTCTTGGCGTAAAGAACCTCTGCGTGGTTTAAAGTTTGTGCCTCTTAAAAACGAGATAAAGATGCCCTTTAGCAGCCGGTCTTCTTTAAAACCAAAATGGCAATGGGGCTTTCTGCCTCTTCGACAGTGCCCTGTTACCCGGCAGAGCGTACCTAAGTAGTAACGTGCGTGTGAGTCGCGGTCGCCTAAAAGTCTTGGCGTAAAGAACCTCTGCGTGGTTTAAAGTTTGTGCCTCTTAAAAACGAGATAAAGATGCCCTTTAGCAGCCGGTCTTCTTTAAAACCAAAATGGCAATGGGGCTTTCTGCCTCTTCGACAGTGCCCTGTTACCCGGCAGAGCGTACCTAAGTAGTAACGTGCGTGTGAGTCGCGGTCGGCGGTTTCAGCGCGGGAAGCCGGTCCGGTCAGCGTGGCGGTCATTGGATATCGCTCCGCTGAACCGGATAATGCAGAGAGCAGCTTTGCCCGTGCTTGTTGGATGTTGGCTTTCGGTGCCTGTGTCGGGATCTTCTCTCATCTCTTGCCCCACGGTGTTTTTCATACACTGTTCTTGCTCCCGGATTGTTTTATTTTGAGGTTAATGATTGTTTTTTAGGCCTTCACGATGGGATCTGATGAAGAACTGTTTTCTTACCAAGTGCACTTGAGAAGTGTTGGAGGCTTGGAGAATCTGTTTCAGATCTACAATAGCAGATCCCCATCTGAAAACAAAAATGGATTAAAAGAGGTCTTGAATTGAGTGTTTGATGAGGATTCAGAATGATTTTGCCTTTCTAGCCCCAGAATTCTCTCTGTCCGTGTGCGTTTGGTAGTGTTCTTCTCTCATCCAGTGGTTATCACCTTGGAAAACTGCGGAGACTCTGGAAGTCTTGTCATGGTGGTGCAGAACATTAATGGGGACTTGGGAAGAGCTGACAAAGGCCACAGAGCCCTTTCTCAGGACTTCACCCGCCCCTTGTTGCCCCTCTTGAGTTTCTGCGGATGGAATAGGGTTTGTAGATGTCTCTCCAATCAAGCAAAATTAGGCAGGCTCTGGAGCAGTCCACCCTTAGGGGAATGGCTCTGTGGTCACTTTAATTCGGCGTAACCCAAGACGCGTTGCGCTGCTGCTACTGCTTCCCTTGCTGTTACAGTGCAGCCTTCGCTCTTAGTCTGGAATTGCTGTTTTAGGGAGCAGCCCGAAGCTGAACGTGGGCCCGGAACTGTTCCAAATGAGAATCAGCCCCTCGCTTTCTGCTGGGTTAATCTTCAGCTGCCCTTGGTTGCGTGATCTGCTCCGGTTTACACTTTGGCCCCACGGCGCTGCTGGGACGCGGTGGGCAGCAGCAAGCAGCCCCGGTGACACAGAGGGAGAGAGTGGTGTTGTGAAAGGAAGGCTTCAGGGCAAAGTTCCGTCCTTGTCCCCCGACAGTTTGTTTGGAAGGCAACCCGGTGTATGTGATTCAGCAAATAACGTGGGTAACCAACAACCTGGCCAAAAGGCAGGAGAAGAAGTTTTTTTAGTGTGGTCTATTTTTGTACAAGCATTGTTGCCATTTAATAATTTAAATTTAATGAAGACTGAGACTTGACATTCAATGAATTATTGTCAATACAGTGCATTTTGGATAGTTAAATGAAAGCAGCTGGTGTAAATTTCAATCTCTCACCTGACTATTTAGAGAGTCCAGGGACTGATTCTGCAGTGACTGCATTGAGCACACCCATTTTCCATGAACAGAAATGGGTGAAAGCATCCTCACTTTAGTTAAAAAAAACTTGTAGGGGTTCACACCTTGTGTCTGTTAATAGTTTTCAGCTTTTTTTGTAAAAAATATGTAGAGCCAGAGTAAAAAATGTTCAGTCAATGGGTGTAGAGTTGTTTTGGATTAAGTTGTATTATTTGCTGCTATGGATGGAATGATGATGAAGTGAGGAGTGAAAAACAATGATGGATGTATCATGTACACTGTGTGTGTGTACAAGGGGCCAGTTCCGAGCCTGGGGACAGGGCTGTTTGGATGTGTCATGGTTAGCAGCTATTTCTTCCTTTTGAGGAAATGAATTCTGCTTCTCGCAGTTTTTGAGTAGTTACCGTGTCAGGGCTCCATTTTCAGGGAGCGGCAGTAGTGTGCTTGGCAAGGCTTCTTTTGAAGGTCTTCTGGGTAGCCCAGAGGGAAGCCCATGGGCAGCATGAGGCTGTGAGGGTGTTACTCCGTTTTGCCATCTTGGCAGCTTGGAAAGCCGTGTTGGTTTTAGCTTTCATCCCTGTCCCTGTGGCTGTGATTCCTGCTTGGTCTGTTTCAGGGTATTTCCCAGATGATGGTCTGAGTATACTCTTGCCTGTTTCAGGTCACAGCATTGGGTTCAGGTCCTGCTCAGGGGAGCCGGCTCGACCTTCACCAGTTTAGAAAGTCCTTTTCTGTATATGGCGTAGTCTGGGATCCACACAGGTGAGAGGCAGAGCAGCACCCTCCCTCTGACAACCCAGCCAGACAGGATGGGTCGCACAGGCTCTGACAGAGGGCCCGAAAACAGCGTTTGTGAGCAGCTTAATGAACAGGCATTTTCTTTTGCCTTCCTTCTATCTGTGTCACAGAATGGTCGGGGTTGGCAGGGACCTCTGTGGGTCACCCAGTCCAACCCCCTGCCCAAGCAGGGTCACCCAGAGCAGGCTGCACAGCACCGCGTCCAGGCGGGGCTGGAATATCTCCAGAGAAGGAGACTCCACAGCCTCCCCGGGCAGCCTGGTCCAGGGCTCCGTCACCCTCAGAGGAGAGAAGTTCTTCCTCGTGTTCAGCTGGAACTTCCTGTGCCTCAGTTTGTGCCCGTTGCCCCTTGTCCTGTCGCTGGGCACCACTGGAAAGAGTCTGCCCCCGTCCTCCTGACACCCACCCTGCAGATATTTGTAGGCATTTCTAAGGTCCCCTCTCAGCCTTCTCTTCTCCAGGCTGAACAAGCCCAGCTCCCTCAGCCTCTCCACGTAGGAGAGGTGCTCCAGTCCCCTCATCATCCTCGTAGCGCCTCCGCTGGACTCTCTCCAGTAGCTCTTCATTTTTCTTGAACTGGGGAGCCCAGAACTGGACCCAGCACTGTAGATGGGGCCTCACTAGGGCAGTGTAGAGGGGAAGGAGAACCTCCCTCGTCCTGCTGGCCACACTCCTCTTGATGCACCCCAGGATCCCATTGGCCTTCTTGGCAGCCAGAGCACACTGCTGGCTCATGGTCACCCTGTCGTCCCCCAGCACTCCCAGTCCCTCTCCACATATATATCCTTTCAGTGTTACTTTAAATAGCTGTGGGTGCCTCGTGGCAGCTGTAGGGAAGGAGTGAGAGCTCTGGTGTTCAACTGGGGGAAAGTTCACGGGCTGCCTCCTGCTTGCTTCTGCGCGCTGAAGCGGAGAGCCGCTGTGCCAGGCTGGCAGCAGATGGTCTGATCAGTTCCGAGGCAGCTTCGCCCCAGTTGAAAGGCGTGTAGACTGCTGCTGGCCCAGGCGTTGGTACGCACGCACGTTGGCACACGTGCTCCTGTCTGTTGAAAAATTGAATTTTCTTCTCAGAACCTGGAAGACTGATGCTGGTGCGGTTTAGATGACCTGTAGAATTCTGGAAGTACCAAGAATTTTTTGATTAGGGGATGTTTTTCCTCTTAAGTGAAAGGGATCCAAGTTCAAATGCATACTAAAATGTTTTTTGTTTTGCTTTTTTTTTTAATTCTTTGTGAAAACCGTTTCAGAGTAGAAGCCAAAAATCTGCTGATTTTGCTAGGATGAGGGAGTGCCCTCTCTCTGTTTTTTGAAAGAGCTGGTCCTGATCTGACAGTTTCCCAGAGGTCTACTATGAAATTTAATTCCATAGGCGTTGCTTTCATGCTTTTGGTACCCTGGCACTGGTGTCTGATGTGGTGTGGGCAGCCTCCGTTGTCCGCCTGGTGTCCAAACTACCTGGTTGTTTTATTTTCAAACCTGTTTGTGGATAAGAGGTATTTCTGGAATCTCCCCAGCTTTTCTTTCTGATCGTTCATTCTGCATACCTTCCTTGTCTGAAGCATTGCTGTACCTTGTTTCTCTTGCACTGCGTGGCTTCACGTTTTCTATCTTTATTTACAAAGTCTCTTGGGGATTTAGGATGTCACCCAGGTGGGGCCGACTCAGTGATTTTCCCTCAGATTCTGCACATCTGGATAATTCTCGCTTCCGTTGCAGGTGTATTCATTGTTGCAGCGAAGCGAACCCCTTTCGGGGCCTACGGAGGTTTGCTGAAGGACTTCTCGGCCATCGATCTGACAGAACACGCTGCTCGAGCTGCGTTGGCTGCTGGCAAGGTCTCTCCGGAGATCGTCGACAGTGTCGTGGTCGGCAATGTCATGCAGGTTGGTGGGACGGAAGAGTTGCTGGTCATGGAGTGTTTCGGTCGTCTCCTTTGGTCCTGTAGTTAGTTACCTCTGCGTTTCCTGTTCATGTTTAAGGGACGTACCCTGCATGATTTGTGATGTTACTGGGAGCAAGGCTTAACTTCGTTTTTTTTAGTACTAAAGATAGTTTAAACTAGGACGAGCTGATCTTCTGATAAATGTGGATTCATTAAATGGCTAGTTGCCAATCCCTGTTTTTTTTTCCTATTTTAATGACTTGAGCTGCGTAGCTTGATGATCAGTGAGTTTTCACTGGATTGGATAAATCCCTTTCCGGGGACTGTAGCTGGTTTGAGTCCATTTCCCCTGAGTTTTCAATAGAATTTTGAGTGAATACAGGTTTATTTGGAGCTGGAAGGATCCATGCCTTGACTGGCAGAGGCATTGGGACAGTCATATTTTTTCTGAAGAGCTTGTGAGGTAGATGCTACGGTGTGCAGGGTTCCAGCATGGCAAAACTGCAGTTATCCACGTTTCTAGATGAGGGTCTTTGGTTTGTATTCTGGCGTCACCGTTACTAAAGGGGTAGGCACTCTTACCTTGCACTGAGTGTTTTAAGGGTGCCAAAGCAACAAATACCTGATAATTTTCATGAAAAGTGGACAAACATGCAGTATTCGCTAGGGATTTTCAGCCAAAAGAGTAGCATTTGATTATTCTGTCTACTACAGCTACGATCACAGTTTCTTATATTCAGCTTTTTAGGTTTTGTAAGAACTGTTTGTGGCCTAGGAAAAAAAAATTGCTGCGTCCAAAGCCCTTGCAATGCTTTCACATCAAAAATAGCATTCTCTTAATTTAAAAAAACGGTCTTTTCACGTTGAAATTACGTTTATTTTCCCTTGCATCATACTTTCCCATCCCAATAGTTTTTCTTTTTTTTAGTCCTGGGTTCCTCGTAAGTGTTATTTGATAAAGTTGAAATAACTATGAATGTATGACCATTTTAAACTCCCCTTCTTCAGCTCAAGTGGCTCGTTTAATTTTTTTTTCCCCTGAACTTGTGTTGGCCAGCAGCACTGCACAGAACTATGTCTTTATAATACACATTAACTTAGGGCATGGTCCCCAAGAGCAGAATTGTTCTCTCTATTTGGAAGAGATCCATTACAAACGTATGGCAGCGCTGGTAGAATTCTTTGTTCCGTACCTGTGCTTGCCATCATCTGCTGACTCGGTAGTCGAAATGCAGAAGCCTAATCTTTTTTGTTTCATCTCGTATTGGTGCCTGGTTCATTCAAGGAGTGGGTTCTGAAGCACACCGCTCTGTGTGCAGTACTTTGCTTTTCGAATAGGATAGAACCATCTTTGAAAAGCTTTGGAGGAATGAGGTTTCGTTGTTCGAACAGGCCAGTGTCCCGTCAGAACGTCACAGTTCTGAGATTTCACAAAATGGGTATAAAGCAGCAATGGCATCTCCGCATTTTCCACACTGTTTTTTGGGGGCTTTGCCCTGATAGTCTGAGCAGTTTTAATTTGCCTGGAAATAACTGCTTGCCAGTCAGGATCTGGTCTTAGGCCAGTCTGGTGTGTCTATGGTGGTTTGCAACTGAGGGATGAGGGAAAAGATCAGACCATGAAGTTGCTGACTTCAGTCTTAAGATCTGTAGTCCCATTTTTGGCCTGATGTGTAGCTTTTACGACACACAGTTTGTTTAAAGAGCATGTTAAGACATTGGCCCTTTTTGATGCTATAACATGGTGTCTTTTTGAAGTGAATCAAAGTGCAGCCCATGACTAGCAGGATTTCTGTTGAACATGGGCGATCTCCTGTCAGTGATGCAATTAAACCATTCTGACTTTTCATGAAGGCTTTTAGCTTCCAAAGAAATTAGAGTGTGACAAAACCTCCCTTTGTCCTGCCTGCAGACCTCCGCAGATGCGATATTTATTGCGAGGCATGTTGGTTTACGCGTGGGAGTTCCTGTCGCGGTCCCAGCCCTCACGGTCAACAGACTTTGTGGCTCTGGTTTCCAGTCCATTGCCACTGGATGTCAGGTACAAGGTTCTTTTTTTCTGTATTAGTTGTAACCTTTATCAAACTGTTAACAGGAGAGAAGAGACGGGTGTAGAAAAGTGTGCTTGATGTTTGGGGTGAGGCTTTGGGATGGTGTGGTTAACACACTGGAGGGAATGGATGCCATTCAGAGGGACCCTGACAGGCTGGAGAGATGGGCCTGCGTGAACCGCATGAAGTTCAGCAAGGCCAAGTGCAAGGTCCTGCACGTGGGGGTCGGGGTAGTCCCAGACACAAGTACAGGCTGGGCGGAGAGTGGCTTGAGAGCAGCTCTGAGGAGAAGGACGTGGGGGTCCTGGTGGATGAGAAGCTCAACATGAGCCGGCAACGTGCGCTTGCAGCCCAGAGGGCCAACCGTGTCCTGGGCTGCGTCAAGAGCAGCGTGGCCAGCAGGGCGAGAGAGGAGATTCTGCCCCTTGACTCCACTCTCGTGAGACCCCAACTGGAGTCCTGCGTCCAGCTCTGGAGCCCCCAACAGGAGAAGGACACGGACCTGTTGGAGCAGGGCCGGAGGAGGCCACAAAGATGATCCAAGGGCTGGAGCACCTCTCCTATGAGGACAGGCTGAGGGAGCTGGGACTGTTCAGCCTGGAGAAGAGAAGGCTCCGGGGTGACCTTAG